CATCAGATGGACTCTGACACTCGAAGGCAGCTGCCAAATTGAAACCATTTATCAAAATCTGACATCGGAGATCCAGTGACCAAAAAAGCAGTTTATTTGTAAATTGATACTAATAGTGAGCATGCATTGTGTGGCCCCTGTGACGGCCTGATTTACAGCCAGAGTGGGACGTCTGTCGGTTAAATATTTATTTATTCACCAGAAAACTCAATAAGCCCACAGTTTGTTTGTTTTTTTACTTGGGCCAGAAGAGAAAGGAGAGGGGAAGTGGTGCGATCACGTGACCGAGCAGCAAGCGGCTAACTCCGCCTGTCACTTCTCCTTTGTTTTCACCTGTAGCCGCGCTGTGCACACGACAGGAGCAGGGATGGAGACCGATGTTTAGACAGAGAGGGGTCTGTCTGTGGACAGGCGGAGCGACACCGAGCAGATGGGGCCGTTGTAGGGCGTCAGGTGGAGGATTACAGATGCAGAGTGTGGATATGGAAAACCGCCAGGCTGATTCCATGTGAAAGATGGGAAACTGGTGGGGAATTGCCTCAGAAATGGGTCGGAGACATCGTTAGCCTAGCGTAGCACACCGACTGGGAGCAGGGGAGACTTGGCAGCAACAATTCCACCCAGTCCTCAGACCTTTGACTACAGTATATGACGTTCATCTTTGTTCATCCAGAACATGTCTAGCCTAGCTTAGCATGAGGGCTAAAGCTAGTGAAAAGTGTTAGCATAGCTCCACATAGTTGGTTCACTACTATTTTCATTACTGACAATTCTGCTGATTATTTAATCAAATATAATCACGATTAATTGATTAATAACTTTATAATGTGATCCCCATAGTATGAATTAGTCCACCACAGCAGGGGCGGATCTAGAACATTTTGGGTGGGGGACAGACTCAAAGTGGTGGCACATTTGAAATGCATGTAAAAAAGTAAATTAATTAGGAATTAAATGATTTTTTGTAAAATAATAATAATAATAATAATAAGGCACACACACAGTGCTTTCTTTTAGTGAACTTTGGTCGCACTCCTTATTTACTCCTGGCTGAAAACATGGCTTCTGCACAGTGGTCGTGTTTATCATATGCAGTGGTGGAGAGTAACTAAGTACATTTACTCAAGCACTATAGCTAAGTACAGTTTTGAGGTGCCTGTTCTTTACTTGAGTATTTTCATGTTCCGTTAGTTCAGACTGACTTCACTACATTTTACTTTTTATTCCACTAAATCTGTTTTATAACTTCGGCAGCAGGGGCGGATCTAGAACATTTTGGGTGGGGGACAGACTCAAAGTGGTGGCACATTTGAAATGCATGTAAAAAAGTAAATTAATTAGGAATTAAATGATTTTTTGTAAAATAATAATAATAATAATAATAAGGCACACACACAGTGCTTTCTTTTAGTGAACTTTGGTCGCACTCCTTATTTACTCCTGGCTGAAAACATGGCTTCTGCACAGTGGTCGTGTTTATCATATGCAGTGGTGGAGAGTAACTAAGTACATTTACTCAAGCACTATAGCTAAGTACAGTTTTGAGGTGCCTGTTCTTTACTTGAGTATTTTCATGTTCCGTTAGTTCAGACTGACTTCACTACATTTTACTTTTTATTCCACTAAATCTGTTTTATAACTTCGGCTACTAGTTACTTTTCATAACCAGATTAATTAAAAAAAAATACAATATGGTAATAATACCTCACTAAACTATGGTGTAACATTCACAAGCTACCCAGCAGTACTTCAAATTAAATGCATGTAAGCCAGTAAAACTAGTTCCCCCTTTAGCAGCTGAAACCTTAAATGAAATGCATCAGTAATTATAACACAATATGATGATATACAGGAATGTGAACTGTGCTGTTCTACATAAGGAGTACTTTTCCTTTTAGTACTTTATGCTTTGATGCTAATACTTTTGTACCTTTACTTAAGTAACATGTTGAATGCAGAACTTTTACTTGTAAGAGTATTTTCATACTGTTGTATTGCTGAGTACTTCCCCCACCACTGATCATGTGAAATGTTGTTCCTTTGTGCTAGCTTAGCATTGTGAAACAAGTGCACATGCAGCAGCTGATCTCTCTCTAGTTTTACCTGTAATCAGGACCACATTATATCAGTGTGTCCGGGAGGTTACGGGGAAAGAAACTGGAATTTACAGACCTGTAAACAGAGGGTTACCAGCATGTCTCGCAACTCATATCCTGTCAGCTTTGTACTGTCACTGTCTACTAATGATACAAGATGTTAAAACCATTCAGGCCGTTGTTCTATAATCAAAGTAGCTGCAGATTATTTGGACAGTTTCATCTGATGGAAGTTCAGGGTTGCAGTCACTGCTTCTAGCGCTACCTGTGGATAAAACCACAGTATATTCTCCTGAATTTCTGTCTGTGCACCTTTTCACTACACGACACCAAGATGTAAATCAGACAGACAGAGGTGCGTGTGCAAGTCTCTGAGTCTGCCGCTCGCACTCCGAGGTGTCCGCTTGCCGCCCAGGCAGACT